AATAGGATTAAGAGGAAGAATAGAAGAAGAATTATATTTAAGTACAGAATAAAGAATTTGATAAATAAAAGTCCACCCACCATAAATATTAAATTTTAGAAGAAGAGAACCAAAAATATTAAGAAAGAAAGGAACAATTTCTGAATTAAAAGGAATTAAAGGAGAAGAATGAAATACAACAAAAGGAAATAATGATTTTTCAATATTTTGTGAAATTAAAATAGTAGCAAAAATTTTAGCAATACATAATGGATGAGAAATATGATTTATTTTACAATAATTAATTAATCCTTTTAATTTATTACATAAAAGAGAATGAGTGTAATCTAATTGTTGACATTTAAAATTACAGTATTTCATTCCACATTTACATTTGATGATTTCTTCTTTATTTATTTCTTTAAATATTTGATTATATTTATTCTTTGGTTCTTTACTACAAAGTGTTTTTAAACAAAATCCACAACAATTATAATAATCTTCTATTTTACTAATTTGTATTATTGGTATTTCTTTCATGATTATTTCTTCTTTTTGATATCTTTTTTTACTAAATACTCCTTTCCCATATTCTAAATTAATTCTTTTAACTTCTACTTCTTCATTCCCTGAATAATATTCTTTCCAATACTTTTCTTCTTTTCTTTCTCTTCCTAATTTAATTTCTGCTATCATCACACTACTGTTATATTCTCTTGTGTTTTCTCCTGCATTAATTAATCGGTAATATCCTTTTTCAAATTCAGGTGTTTCTTCAATGCTTTTTCTTGCATATTTAATTGCTTTTGGTATATCTTTTAATTTCATATAACATGCTGATATGTTTGAATAAAATGGTGCTCTTTGTTCTTTTTTATGACATTTCTTAAATAGTTCTATTGCTTCTTCATATTTTCCTTCTTTAAACTTTTCTTTTCCTTTTTGATGTTCTTCACTTTCCATTTCTTTTGTTATTTCTTTTTTCTTTTTTTTTAAGATGATTTTTTGTTTTTAATTTGTTTTTTGTTTTTGAAAGTGAATATATTAAAGTAATACTATCTAATATATCTTGTTATATTTGGTTAATCTATTTTATTCATTTCTACATCTTTGTTTTATTTTCTTCATTTTATCATTGTTTTTATTTATTATTTAATTTAATCTCTATGATATTTTTATATATTGTTCTATCATTTATATCATGATTTATATTATTTCATTTATAATCTTATCAGATATACAATTAGAAATGTGTTTATGTTGTAAATTGATTATAATATATTAATTTCATTTATTATTATCATATTTACATAATTAATAATTTATAGTGTGTATTAATTCTATCTTGTATCGTTATATAATATGTATATTTTATTATTTAATACAATTCTTTCAATATTTTCAATTTATTCTTTCTTAATTCTCTTTATTTTCTATAAAATTATTGAATTTCATTGTTTATGATTGTTGATTCTTTTTTATTTTCTGTTATGTTATTTTTCTATCACTTCTTTAATATTTCTTTATCATCTTTTTATTTTATTCACTATTTCTTTATATTTTAAATATTTGTTTGATTCTTATTTCTTTATATAAATTATGTGATTTCAATTTCATTTTAATATTTTCTATTCTGTTATAAATCATCATTTCTTCTTTTTATATTCTATATACTTCAATTAATGAATTAAGATTCATATCTTTTACTGATATTAAATTAATTCATAATTATTGATTATTTAAATATAGTCATTGTGGATTTTGTTATTTATTTGTAAAATCAATTTCAAATATGATTTTCTATAATTTAATATCTTCTTTCTTCTTTTATTTATATTTTATCACATTCTCCAATTTGTATATTTTTAACACATTCTATTAGTTGATAATTCATTATTTCATTATTATTATTATGATATATTTGATTAACTGGATACTCATAGTTGTTTGTATGATGAGATTATAATTATTGATTTATATTCTATTTTCTATTTAAACAAACTTTTCTTCATCATAGATTAAGAATATTATTGTTATGTGATAATGTTATTTAATTAATAAATGAATATCACAATTGTTTATTATATTCATTTTATTAATTGTAATATGATTTATTCCATTGATACTCTTTTGATTGATACTCTTTTCTTTAATGATTTAATTTCATTTGAGAATAAAATCTATTTTTAATTTAAATAACAAAAATATTAATAACAAAAAATTTAATTAAATGAAAATTTTAAAATAGATCTTAAAATTAACTAAAAAATAAATATAGTTTTATTTATAATATATTTTTATATAAAATTTATTATTTGAATATAAAGAAAATTCAATAAAAAGAAAATTCAATAAGTTATAAATAGAATTGAATAAATGTGAAACAGAAAATAAAAAGAAAAACTAAAAAATAAAAAATAAAAAAAAAATATAGTAAAAGATGATAATAAAAGAATTAAAAAGTATAATAAAAAGAAGAGAGTTGAGGTATAAAGAAATAATAGAGAGAAAAAACAAAATAACACTATAAGATAGAAGAAATATTAGTAAGATAGAATTAATAGATCAAATAAAAATAACAAAAAGATGAAAAGATAAATTGTATTAAAGTAAAATGATGTTAAACAATGTTTATAACATTAATTATCCTTCTTTTTACAGACATTTCTTTTTCTTCATTCTTTTCTTTACCTTCTTATTTTATCTTTTTTATTACTCTTATTTGTCATTGCTTCATTACATTCATTGTTCATTTCTATTTATTTCTTACTCTCTTCATCAAACCAATTTCAAGTCTTTTTCTTTAACATTAAATTATTGTTGAATTTACTCTTTCTATTTCTTTTTATCACCACCTGCATTTAAAAATAATGTATTGGTATTCTTTCATTCTTCTTTAATTCTTCTTCACACCACATTCATAAAAACAATTCTTTCCAATGAAGTAGTTGATGATGTGTGGTGATTAGTGTTAATGATGTGCAATCATAAAACAACCAATTCATAATTCAGTAATTGTGTTTGGAATAACAAATTCATTACTACTTTTCTTTTCAATCTTCTTTCCACTAATTTCTTTTAGACATTCTACATTTCAACACTAATTACCATTGGTTCATTCATAAATACTCTTTCTTCGTTCATAACCTGTGTATCATCTATATTCATACTTGTTAATGAATAACAATCTTCAAAACAATCATTTCCTATTTTACTAACATTTGTTATATATTAATTGATGTCAATGATGTGTATTCATAAAACATTCACTTCCAAGTGATTTAACTTCTTGTGGTATTGTATTTCCATACGTATTTCTACCTTTATAAATGTATTTGATACTTTTACATTCATTTCATTTCTTTTTCTTTTAAATATCTTGAATAACTTACTAAATACCATATTACATATTTAAATATTCTTCCATTATTAAATATTTCATCATTTTTATTATAAATATGAAATGTTTCAATATTAGCAAATAATTTTCTTGAATGTTCATTTAATGGAATTGGATTAAAATGAAATCATTCAATATTTCCTTGAAATCTTTTAATTCCAATTTCTAAATTAATAAAATCATTAATATCATTAAAATACTTTGATGTTATCATTATTTCATTCTTACTTTATCCTTTCTTATTGTATTTTCCATTCTTATTTTATTTTGAACTTAAATTATTTTTAAGATTATTATTCTATTTTATTCTATTTCTATTTTAAGTTTAATCTAAAAATCATTTATTAGATTTTAATTATTGAGGAAATATTCCAAAAATAATAAAATTGAACTAAAAAATAAAAAATTGAATGATTTAATAAAGATAGTAAATCAAGTTATAAAGAGAAATGAAACACATTGATATGATTTATTGAATGAGTATAATTTCATGTTATGAGATGAATGACATTCAAAACATTGAAAGGATTAATAAGAAGTGTGTTTTATCATTAAAAATAATCTAAAGTTTACATCACAAAGAGATGGAAATATTTTTACAATATTCAATCAATTGGTATTTAACTGTGATTCAATTATGCTGATGAAAAGGAATAAAGAAAGATAAAAAGATAAGAAAATAGAACGATTTTAAAGAGATGATGATAAATAATGAGATATTTTGATTGGTCAAGAAAAATAAGAATTGAAAATGATAGAAGAAAAAGAATGAACAAGTAAACAAAAGTACAATATATGAATTAGTTATTAGATAAATCAGGTGAAATGATAGAAGTTATTAATCAAAAGATGAAAAATGAATAAAACAGATATAATCAAACACGTTCAAAGAAGAATAATGAAGGTGTTATAAAATAAAGTAAATGAAACAACAGATCAAGATACCTTAAAATATATTCTGATGTGTATTAATTTTGATTGTTTATTTAAATATTCATTGATTATTTTAAATATCAAATCAGTAAATATTGATGTATTTCATTGTTTATTCTTTACTATATTTATTTATTTTTGATTGTATTTTATTATTAAAACTTGTTTATATCTTGTTCTTATATTTATTTTATTTCAATGATAATAAACACAATATTAATGAATAATTTATAATATGATATAATGCAGTTTTATTAATTGATAATTTATCATTGATTTAATATTAATTTAATGATTTAATTATTACTGAATAATATAGTTATTTATATATTCATTCAACATGTTTATTATCTATTCTATTATTTAGATTTAGTATAATTGAAATTAGATATTCATCATATTCATTCTTTATTTGATTTCACATTTTTATTATTATCTCATGTTATTATTTTATTAAACATCTTGTTGATGTTAGAAAATTGATGTGATTGTTTAGAATATTTCATTTCTTCATTATTTCATTTATCAAATAATGTAATATTTAATACAAGAAATGATAATAGAGAGAAAATGAAATGATAATAAATAATAAAATCAATAAAGAATGATATAATTCATAACATTAATAATTTAAATGAATAAATTAGAAATATAAAGAGAAGAAATGATAATAAAACTAATATTTGCGATATTAGATATTTAAATAAATTAATTAATAGATTAACTGATTTTATGAAAGTTAATAATGATGATAATGAAACAATTACAATATGGATTCAATAATATCAATAACATTGAAATAATTAAATTAAAACAAGTGTATTTGAAAATATTATAATCAAAATTAATAATAATAAGAAATGAATGAATAGATACTACAAATATCATTAATACAAACAATAAGAAAATAATGAAGAAAGAAGATAATAATCAAGTATTCAAATACTTAAATCAAATTGTTGTTATGAAGAGAATAAAATAAGAATGAGATGTTAAAATAAAATAAAAGTATAAAAATTAATAAATCAAACAGAAAAGCGAGAAAAAGATAAGATAATAGATGAAGAAATGAAGTGATAAAGAAAATAATAACAAAAATAAAGAAATTTAACAATAAAAGAGAAAATAAATAAAATAATAATATAAATAAAAATAAATTATTATTTTAATTTTATTATTTATTATATTAATACTATTATATTTA